ATAAACGGCTAGAAGTTCAAAGACTCGGCTAAAAGAGTTTTAGGACACTTACTGAAGTACCAAGTAAACTTTCGAGGCAAAACATTCGTTTCTCGAGAATCACTCACCTGATCTAGTTAAGTTGCAAGAGCTCCACAATTTACAATGTTTATGGTACATCTGTAAAGTGCAAAGCATATGACTTCTTCACGGCAGTGAGGAAGTCATGTTTCATCTGAGCATATGTTAATATGTATTGTAATAACAGTACGAATATTAATCATAAGAAGTTTAGCTAAAAAGCCTTAGTTTAACTGAATTTAGTTTGCGATTAGTTAATAGCAATGCCTAAAAACATGTTGAGTTTGATGAATCCTAGATGGCAGCACAATAGGGCTAGATATATCGAAATGCAGCCAGCGTGGTATAACTCAAGATAATTACAAAGTACTTTGTGCGAGAGTAGGAGACAATCTTGACAGTTTGTAATGAAGATATATGTATATGGCAATATATGTGTATAAACAAACATGTATGACCCCATATGTGTATAGGAACATTACATGAACTCATTCATGAGTGCTGGATAACACAAACGGATCAGTTATACAAAGAACATATTTATTACAGCAAGAATGAAAATAAAGGCTTTGATCTGAATGTTACAAACTTGCGATGTGAAGTTAACTGTAATTACTTGTTTATACGGCATTATTTGTAAATACGGTGCACTTGTTATTTTCATTAATACTTGTAAGAGCATGTTTCAATATTGACATTTAAATATTCAGCAATTAGTCAATTATTCGTGGAAGGATAAGAGTAGCTGAAAGACTCACATTACGTTTGTTAGAAAACAATTTCGTTTTCCTTGTTATTTTTGGTAAGAATAATGCTAAATGTTTTGAATGGATCACATCGAAATATTTATTAGTGGGTGAATTTATCAGTTGTATATGAAATTCACAGACAGTTGCTTACATAACAAACGTTAACTTGGTAAACCCAGTGTTTTATGTCTTAACTGGTTGTGAGAGAACATCTTCAATCATCTAGATTGAAATATTTAGTATAACACACAGTTTTCTAAGTAGTTTATTAACCCTGTTTTAATACAAGTATTTGATGCGTGAAAATGGATAGCAAAAATGGATAGGTTGGTATCTCCTAAGCCGAGTCGGCTCAGGTGTGTAGGATCCAAATCTGCAGTCTCAACCACATTCCTTTTTTACTGAAACTGGGCGCTGTTTATGTAAAAACCAGATAAGGAATGAAATTCTCAAGAAAAAATTAGAGGTACTCATCTGGGTGAAGTGGGCTTGTTTTTGAAAAAGAAAAAAATCTACGTGTAGACATAAAAAAACGATAATCTGAGTGTCAATGAATAAATGCTTTCCGACTGAACAATGGAACGCACACGCATCCGAAAAAAGCAACTCAAATAAGTCCGGTACTAGTACCGCCTTAAAAAATAAGTTCCGGTACTCAGTACCAGTGAGTACCAGCATAATTTTACTCCTGAACCAGATAGTAGTGGAGAGAACGAATCTGGGTAATGAGAAAGCATGTCGGCTATTATAATGAAAATGTAAACAAGAGTAGCAGAGACCCAACGAAGCCTGTGGACTGAGAAGTTCGTGAGTACTAGTGATATATGTTCTATGTGCAATTAGAGCATGAGTACATGTGAACCCTGTAGACATTTCACTGGACTATGGTAATCTGTTGGTTACTCTGTCTCTAAGGGTAGTTTTAGAAGGGAGTAATTGCTGTACCTGGGCAGTTATTACCCTTTTTCAACATACACACCTAGCTGACCTTTTGACAAAAAAGAAATTCATCTGATCTTCCATTTTCAATTCAGACAATAGGTTTTCATGTGCTAACCTGAATCAGATCAAATGTGTAGAATAGAATCCATAGATGCAATTGTGTTGATGGCCAATGCATGAAACGTTTAGGGCTCTGGTGAACTGGTTATCAGGCTAGCTCTGAAGTCTCCATGGCCAGAGTATCAGAATCCAACACAGGTCAGCCAAGCAATGACTCACATCTGGTTAAGTTGTCTACCTGCAGCTCAGCCACAGAATACCACAACGTCGACATTAAAAAAACAAAACAAGAAACTGTGCATTTCTGCATCAGGAACCTCTTCTGAAATTTCCTGTCAGAAAGTATTTATTAATGCCAAGACGAAAACACCAAATGTGCACAAACTTCTGGCAGAAGCACTACATAGTGAAGCCACAGAAGACTTTCCCAAAGTTAAGGTTGCCTTGAATGGTGGCTAAATGCAGAAAACCTTCACCTCTGTGAAAGCCAGATCACCATCACCAAAGAGTTCCTGGGAATCAACTCAACAGCAGTTGAGGGTAACATTCTCAACAGTACTGACAACCCTACACTCCAGTAGATCCCCCCCCCCCCCAAGCGGCACTTGTGGGCCAAGTTTGCGGATATGAAAAGAGTTCTAGCTAAAGCCCGTTGCACCAACAGGGTAACCACTGTGGCAAATCACTAGACTACTATCATCTTGAAGGATGTGCTGACCAGCCTAATGTGAGAGCAAGGGAACGGAACCTCGTCCTTGCCGTCTAGTGAATGAGTGTGTGTGTGTGTGTGTATTTGTACTTATCTCCACATTTTTTCATTTATATATTTATTTACTTAATGTACGTATCTATAACTTTTAGAGCTGGATATTAGCGGTATTTGCTAATCAAGTAATCGATAGTCCACTAATAGATTAGTACAGTATTCCTCAAGACATGGCATCTACAAGCAGAAAAAAAGTTGGCAGCTGGTGCTACCAAACAGTTGTCTTCCTTCTAGTCAGCAGTTCAAAATGAGCTAAATGGGCAGGTAGTTTTAGTAGCTTTACCATAGCAAAGACAGGGTGAGCAAGTAGCAATATTTTGATAACTTAGATAGTTGATATAATCAAAAACAGTAACAACTGGAAACCCTAGCTTCGATTAGCTGATTATTTTCGTGACATCAATTGATTTACTCATAATTTTGATTAATCACTTACTTTGTAACATCAATCAATGTAATCGCTGCTCATAGGTAATGAATTATATTGATTAATCGATTAGACTGCCCAGCTCTATAACTAGAACAAGTGACTGAAGTAAAATTAGTAGTCCATGAGCCAGTTTTCATATGGGCTTTACATTTCAAGTTGACTGCACCTCTGACCGAACAAAGGTTCATAAGTATAAAATAAGAGCTAAGTATCCACTGAATACAGAATCAACTTATTACCATACCAGATTTTTTTTGCTAAAGATTGGAAACAAGACCATTTCTGATGATAGGTTGCCAAAAATGATAAGAAAATAACACTTTTAAAAATACATTTTAAAAAAGGGTAAATGTTCAAGAATATACCATGTTTACTCAAGATATGTAAATTAATTCTACCTATCAATACAATCTATTAATTACAAAGAAAGACCCTTCATCCAACAGTATCTGACAAAAAAATGGATTTTCGGCAAAATTTACTTTAAAAACTGACATTTTAAAGGGTCAATCTTAACACATTCGTCATAACTTTGGGTCATGGGACTAACTCTGCATTTCATCAACTCCAATATAACTTTGCATGTCTCAGCTTTAATCTAAAACAAAATAACAAAAGAAGTATTTTAAAATCTTCCTCTTGTTTGTTTGTTTTTTATCAGTGTTACCACCTACTTCCAAAATGTAAGGAACGCAAAATCAATATCCACTCTAATATAATGCCAAAATATGCGTTATTTGTCATACAAAAAAACGTTCCCCAGTAGGACAGCGGTAAGTCTACGGATTTACAACGTTAAATACCCCTCGGTGGACACAGCAGATAGCCCGATGTGATTTTGCTATGAAAAAACACATACACACAAAAAACTTTGTATACATCAAATAGTTGTTATCCTTTTGTAGTTTAAAAAAATACCTTGGCATGTCTAAGTTTTATTTCAAGTTCAAAACAAATACGAATGCGATATACCAAATATACAACTCTATTACAAAGTTATAGAATACGAGCAATTATCTGGAAATATTAAATATTAAATAAGTTTTTCTTCATTACCCATTCAAGCCGTCTCCAGCCATTATTAGTCTCAAAGTGGGTTCCTCGTCATCGAATTAAATATGTGTTCTATATGTATGATAACCCTTCACAACCACTTGGAAGATGTAATTTCTCACGAAAGATGGCTTTGTTTAAACTTTTAGCAAAAAAAAAAAAAAAAAATCACAGAAACAACTAAGTATTTAGCTTTTGTTTTCCCAATTAATTTTGTCCAGTTGGGAGGGGTGCAAAAATTGACAGCTCATGAACTATATTTAAGAAAAAGGCGTTTAATACTTAACTTAGTACATCAGACTGGACAAGGTAGGGAAAATTGAAGAAATGTCTAAACCTCTCAAATTATTTTAAAACATAAAGGGGTAAATATGGAAAATTTTACGACAAGGTATGCGCGCCAGTTCATTACCTAAATCGGTTGATAATCAACAAATTGTAATTGGCACAAAAAGGAAAAGTTCATCCAAGAGAAAAAGATGAAAAAAGGCAGATTTCACTTACCAGCTCCACAAACACGCTACTTCTATTGTTTTTTACTTCAACACTTTTTATAGATTCTTGTTTACAAAACCTATGAAACTTCGTGTCACAGTCAACGAAAGATTCAATACATTGTATGGTCTTATTAGTACTTATGTAACATCGATCATAAACCTTCTTCGGCCTCCTACTAAATTAATTGTACAGATTGAACATAATTACATTTGACCTATGTTTGCATCTACATTTACTTGATTTTTGAACTTCTCCTACAGTTTTGACAATCTGATTTGAACTTCTGATTTGACAAGAAAATGTGGTCATAAAAAAAACAATAGTAAAACTTTTTGCGTAGTTGAATTTACATGGGTAATCTACTAGTTAAAGTATATTTATAACACAACATCTTCATTTATAGAACCTAAATTTGATACGTTATTGTCAGAATATTACTGACCTTTGTTTCCTTGCATCTTGAATTGTCCTGTTAACTGAGATACGGTCACTGGCCAGTAGGTTAAATCGATTGATATGAAACAAAGTTTTCATTTTGGCGTTCTCATGGGGAGATATAAACACTGGTTGCCCATTATCACCGGCTTTTGGAATTGGAGAATACCCATTTGTATTCAAGATCTCTGAAAAGGTTCGTAAACAATTGTTAATACTTTTTATTGTTAATTTAAACAGTGGCGATCTAGGTCCCAAAAGACTGTGGTGCAAAAAAAAAAAAAAAAATTTTCCCGTACCCCCCCCCC